TTTATATTCAAGCTTAAGTGTGAAAAAAGTGCATTTTTGGACTTAGTTTTCAAACTAGGAGTCCCGTGCTAGTTCCGTAAGTTTAGACAACTTACAAGGGAAACGAAAATATCAGGTTTGTCTATATTTAACTTCAGAATTTTGTATCCCTTCTAAGTTCTAGGTATCAACATCAGAACACACAACTTTTCATACCATATAACATAAGCAGCAGCCTGGGCTTGAAATTTTCAAAAAAATAAAGCCCTATGATTTATATCTTTCTCGATATGCAAAAAGTCAAGCACTTGGCATGAGCCCATTGCTCGAAGGGACTAGGTTGCAATTCAAGTTACTGATCATCACAACACCTACCCAAAGAATGCAAAAATTGCAGAGTTAAACTCTTATTTGAAGTTCAAATCCTAGAACTACAGTTTCAGCAGAAACTAGTGAAATGTGTCTTAGACATTAGTGTCATGAAACTGTATAATGATGTAATTGATTATCTTGGTTAACCATCTATTGAATGCCATAGCTTTATTCATTGCTTATATTTGGTTTAGTATTTTTCTACTGGGCTGTGGCTCACCCTTTATGGGAACATCATTTTTAGGTTCAGGTGATAAGCTACCTCCAAGGACTTAGCTTGGAAGGATTTGACTTTTGGATTTTGAAGACTATCTTCAGTTAGTTGTTTTGATTTGATAGTACATGTAAACTTTCAAGCCTAGGGCTTTACTTGTATTTGAGTTAGAACTCATATTTTTGTGTCCAAGTGTTGGCTTGGAAAGATGTAAGCCCGTAGGGCATTTAATTTGATGTTACATGTAATGCTTTTATTTAGAAATACTCTGATGAATGAGATAATGAATTGTTTACTTTAAATATTGCATGTCAGTGACAAATATATAATGAGTCTATTTTGAGGGCGTTACATTTTTCCAACCAAACATGTTAGTCGCCAATTCGCACATTCAACGACCAAATAGTTTGGTCGGCAATTGTCGCCCATTTCCATAACCAACTAATTTGGTCACCAATTGTCACATTCTGCGACCAAAAAATTTGGTTGGCAATACATTCCACGACCAAAAGATTGGTCGGCAATATTAATATTCAAGAAATTACACTTTTGCCAACTAAAAATTTGGTCGGCAAAAGTCCATTTTTAGTCGGCAAAAGTCATTCGCAACCAATTTTTTTGGTCGCCACTTTGGTCGCCACTTGAGGGTTGGCAAAAGTAATTGGCGACCAAAACTTTTGTTAGTCAGGAAAAAGTTAGATTTGCCGACTAAATTTTTGGTCGCTAAATATACCATTACTGCGACTAATTCGTCTAGTCGCTAAAACACTTTGGTCGCGAAAAGTGATATTTTCCCGACCAAAGATGTTTGTTGCCAAAAGCAAAAAATCGGCAACCAACTATTTTCGTCGCCAAAAGTTGAGGAATTGCCAACTAATAATTTAGTCGCCAAAAGGTAAGGAATTGCCGACCAATGATTTTAGTCGCAAAAGTGTAAAATTTGGTGACCAATTATTTAGTCGCCAAAACTTTTCTCAACCAAATATTTTGTCGCCAAGAGACATTAAACAATCAACGACTACTTAGTTAGTCGCCAAATCTCTTTTTTTTTTTTGAACAATCAATTTTTGTTTATAAACATTCAGTCCAATACCCAACCTAAATATAACATTAAAATTCATCATATTTTCCTGCTCAATCCCAAACTTTACAATCATTCCATTCAAAACATTAATTGAGACAAGTTGTAAACATCCATCCATTGAAAACCAGTAAGTAATTGAACAAAAATTAAGAGCAAAATCAATGATGGAATCCAAAAAAAATTCTAAAACATGAAGGAATATATATGGTTTTGAAGCATTAGCCTTGTGCTTGATCGTTTTTGGAAGTCACCTACAAATAAAATAAGAAAAGTTAGAATCTAGAAAAACATCCAAAATGAAGTATTCTCATAAAAAAAATTAACCATATGGCAAAAAAATTATATGATTACATTGCAAACATTTGATAATGACTACACCACAATTAAGTATTGGCATACCTAAACAATGAGACAAAGCAGCTCAGCAAGTCTCGCCAAGGTAATCCTTCAGTAATACTTTGAGACAACAAGGATGTTCTGCAAGAAACAATAATTTCTTGTAGATGAACCATTGCAACATATAATTGAAATATATAATTGAACATGAGTGAAAGATTACATGTTCTATTACTCTCTATCTCAAATCTTTAGCTGCTTTTGTTTCTCTTTCCTTTTGCTAAGCCCATTTGCAACAAGAAATTATATGCTTCACGTGTCCTTGATATCTTGTATTTACTTCAAATTATTATTTTTTTTAATTTTCATTTTCAGATATTTTTAATCCATTTCAAATACACTTGAGATTCTCAGTCTAACCACCACTATTTATATATACACACACCATAGATGCAACAAATACCTATAGATGCAAAGGTAAAGAGGAGCAATATGATTACCATAAATGGAAATGTTAAGGGAAGGGAATGACCTATTATGACGTGGGATGTGGTAGTAAAAAAAGGATAAAAATTTAATTAATTTAATTGAAGATATAGCCTTTGACAGAGCAGGACGGTGACAAAAGATTCATGTAGCTGACTCTACTTGATTGGGACACCAGGCTTAGTTTAGTTTTACACACCAAATTGATCCATTTAGAAAACTTATTCTGATATCTTCAGTTGTCAGATATATCATTTTAAACCTGTCCATGATTTATACATTTGAATGGAGTAGTGCGGTCCAATTGATATGAACAATAAGTGCATTCAAATGCTAATGCAAAGTGTAACCATTCCACTGGGACACTGATCTGTTAATAGAGTTCAAATTAAAACAAAATTCAAAATCTGTTTCTGATAGATAAACAACGGAGACAATCTAACCTGATTATTTGAAGCCTGTTCATGTATCTGATGTGGCTGCATATTCAAATCCATCATATTTGTCTTCGTGTTGGCATGCCCATCGGCATTGGCATTCGTAGCTGACTCTGGAACCCTGTGATTCTGCTAGTTCTCTCCCATCGTCAATCCGAGTTGCTGATTCTCTCCCCTCCTGTTCTCAGTTGGATCCTCCAACTTCCCAAACAGCGCCAATATATATATAAAATTTCTCTTTCTTCTTAATCTTCTTCTTCTTCCTCCTAAATCCCAACCCTAAATTCCTTCATTTTACATTCTAACTGTAACCAATAAGTGAAGTTGACTTATGTATATGCAAAGGGCTTGAGAACACAGATCTCTCTGAAAAATATGTTTCCAGCAGTCCAAAGCTTTAACTAGTTGAAAAATGAGATGTAACCAAATATTATGACATAAAAACTATAATTCACTCTACATATTGACAAACATGTCTTTTACAAATTCAAGTGACGGCAATGTGTCAAAGTAATAAAGTTCACTCTTAACAAAGGCCCAAGAATGAAAAATCTCTTCTTTTTTTTTAAATTTTTTTTTTTTTGATCAGCAACAAACAAGAATTTTATTAAGGCACAGAGCCAAAGATAGGAGGATGAGGCATCCTCAGAAAAAGGGTACAAGTGAAAAAACAAAACGAAAAAAATTCAAAACCAAAACAAAGCACTACATATCACAATCTGCCCCCCAATCTGCTGCAATTAAAAAAAGAGGAACTCCTTTAAACAAAGGGCTCCCCGATACCCAAAAAGAAACCAAATGTCATTCTGTTTAAAATTCTATTTGTGTATCAAATAAATGAACAGGTTTTAACCTACCTTAAAATGCTCCAGTGGGTACTTGACATCAGCCAAGTTGATTTGTTCCTACAACACAATGGTGGAGAAAAATTAGACCAAAGAATAGTACACTTCATACAAGCAATTTTAGCATAAAAATTTGTATGAATTTGGGTAAATTATGATTGTACAATCGAAGGCTACCAAAGAGCAATTAACAAATTTTAAATATAGCCATCAAAAGGAGATACATGAATAGATATAACACATGAAAGCTTAGCCAACATCATGAGTATTATTCATGAACCAAAAATGAAAAGGGGGGCAAATCCAATGTATGTTTTTGGTCAATCTGTTTAAGCTTCAAATTTTATTAAGATTGCTTAATTAAACTGAATATCAAAGACCATTTTTAAATCATCACTTAGTAATTTATTCGAAGACTAGAGGCACACAGTAGGGGCAGGATTTAAAAATGTCCTGACCCATTAATTGTTTCAGAAACTAATGCATGTAGTGGGCATCCAACACAAGCCTTAAACCCCAATTACATAGGTTTTCTACACAAATCAATGAACCCTTCTTTGCCATAAATTTCAGAATGCATGTTCATGAGTTATAGGGACAAAAAACATTAGCAGTCTACCTAACAAACATACAAGCACAGCCCATATGAAAATCCACTCAATATGACTTCAAATCACATCTACTGGATGCTGGTTATGTGAATCCTCTAATAACATTATAAGCCGTGTTGAAGAGGTTTTACTGAATGCTTCATGAATGGTCTATAAATCATGATTTTGCATTATAGGCATTGGATTAATTGCTCGAAAGACAAAACGGTAAATATAACAAAGGATAACATAGTCAGACTTACAAACATGTGCACATAAATAAGTTTACTTAATTGAAAACATCAAGCGTCCATTATAATAATATCATCAAAGAAAAAAAATATCATTCTACTTCTTCTCCACTTAAAGGTAAGAAGAACATTAACGAGTAGAGCAGAGACATAAGTCTGTCTTTCGTACCATTCAAAACCACACTTCACTCAAAAGGGTTACAGACAAGTTGACTTCCAATCACAAATAAACTTACAAGGGTTAGCACCATCACAAGTCTTCTCAAGAAGAATCACAGCCCAAGAAAGCCACTTTATGGCATCAGCATACTTCCCCTGTTTGTAATTATCCATCCCCTTGTTCTTCGCAGCTGAGGCTGAAACACCAGTAGGCGGTGTTTGGACAGCAGATGGTGAGGCGAGGTGGGGTGAGGACAACATTTTATATGACAACTTCTCAATGGAAAAATTAACCAAGAGAAATTAAAACAAAATCAAAAACTAAAGATGACAAGCAAAAGAAATAACAAATTATATTAAAAGAAAGTGCTTACCACATGCCCTACTGACTGCCGCATGAGTTGCATCTCCTAAATAGCGTAGCCGCAACTCATCACCAGGTACAAGACGCAACTCATTATCTGCCTACAACATAAAGTGTACTTTTAGCTTTAACAAAGTGTACAAGTTTAGCAACTTTGGGAAAAAGGTATATATAAGGGAACACCACTGACTCAGGTCCCAATTCATATCCTTCAATGCATTGACACTGAGACAAGGCTCTCTGCACAAAAGAACGACAACACTCTCTGTCTTGGCAGAGATGCATCCAAGAAGGAAAGCATTTCGACAACCACAATTGTAACATACAAGGATTGTTTCTCCCAGGGGACTATCTTTTTGAAGACAAACTTCCTTGTGTTTAGCTCGAACCTACGAAAAACAATAGCATAAATGGTCCATGTTTATGTATCTTGATAATTGGTTACCTATCTTTGTTTAGTAAATGGTCCATGGAAACCCTAGGTACCTCTTGATAGAATATTCATAAAATACTTTAAATTAAATTGCTTGCCTTGAAGAAATCTTGGAGCAGATCTAGAATGCCTGGGCATTACGTGTTCAAACCACAAAAACATCTCTACATGCTAGGGTAAGACTACGAATATCTAACTCTTATCAGACTCCGTAGTGGTGGGAGTCTGGTACACCTAGAATAAATATATAGTTTTTAATTTGAAGATTCTTCTCCATGTTTATGTCTACTTTCCTTGTTGTTTTATTTTCTTTAAGATAATAGTCTAATTAATTTATTTTCCATATCATTATTTATGACTGTAAACTTCCTATTCATATATTTCATTGATCCAAATATCATTTATCATCTTGCCAGATTATTTTATAACATTATATCGTTATTATTTCAACAAAAGAAAGAGATGTTCAATTTCGATAGCTGGCTTTTCTCTATTTATTCAATTTTTCAGATGATTGATTTTGTCACTTTGAAATCAATTAAGTTTTAAAGGCTGCTGTAATGAAGATTGGATTGCTAGAAGTTGAACTCTTTTCTCAGTCCAACATTTTCTTATACTAATATCACACTTACATATTATACTAATCATTAATGTTGATCAATTTAAAAGGTAAATCATTCTAGCAGTCATCTTAGGCTGGTGCAATTTTATTATCTCTTGTATTAGTAATTAAAAATGTTGTGATGTTGTATGTGAACTTGTAATTTTTTTGTGTTGTTAAACTTTGACTATTTGAGAATTTAAATTTCCCTAAGTAGATGTTAAAAATTTTATTTAGCAAGCTATTTTGTTATTTAAATTTTATGATGTTCCAAAAATTTGGGGGCGTCACAAAAAACAGTAAACTTTAAACATCATGTGCCCTAATAGTTTTACAGAGTTGATCACAAACCATTCGCAACAGATTCTTCAGGAGGGCCAGAGCCCATGACTTCAGAAATAGGTTCATGCTCTGTCTCCTTGTCTTGCTCAGATCTGGGGGAAAGAAAAATATTAACAGATTATTGAAGATAAAAAATAAGCACCAAGTGCAGATTTGAACCAACTGATAATGAATATTTATAAAAAAATTATGTCATTATGAGTAAAGGATACATATCAGGCAAGCTTACCTTAGGAAACAACCATACTACTAACAAGGAGGAAAACACATTTCATGATTGATAGAAGTTCCCGAAATTCCATATCTTTTTTTTAAATAAAAAGTTCACTTATTCTTTCCGTTGCTCCTTGCAATATACAAAATGAACTAAGCTACAGAGATGACTGTATTCCAAGGATTAGAAGAAGAAATCTTTAGTGTCATAATGTTCAAAGAACAAGGGGTACCAATGGGCAGTTGACCCTAAACCAACAACCACACAAAGAATTGCACCAGCCCAAGTAACTGCTAGAATGATTTACCCATCTTCTATGCCATAACAAAACAAATGGACTATGTCATGCAGTGCTTATCTTTTCCATATTAGTAGAAAATAATGTTATAGTTGCAGACATGGCCATTAGGCAGCAACAACTATAGTGGCATTGCCACTCCCTAAGACTAACCAATAATCTCACTTCAATATTCTTCTTTTTGTGCATGTAAAATTAATTCACACAAATCATGAGAAACAATTGATAGTGAATAATTTTCAAAAGTCATAAATTAAAATTTTGTTGCCATTTTGAAATTTTAAATTAAAAAGTAAAACCTCCCTGGACATGTAAAATTATTTTCTAGGGTTCTGTAAAAGGAGAGTGTGAATAAGAGGACTTAACAAGTTAGACTTCCTGATATGTTTAATATATAGATCTTAAGTAGGTCAATAAACAAAGATATTAGCTTGAGCAAAACCAGATTTATATATCAGAGAATTACACTATTACTCTAATACCAAATCCAAGGCTACATAAGATCTAAGAAAACAAATGTAGCAAAACCATTGAGTAAGACTGAGAAGCCTCCTGAAAACTAGCAAAATGAGGAGTATTGCCCAAAATCTGAGAAATAATTATCAAAGGGAAGCCAATAAATTATTTACTATTGCAATCATAGAATCAAATTTCAATTCAAACAATCAGAACACATGAGAATACATACACAATCAATGAGCAGCCATACATGCAAATACATACGCAATCAATTGATTAGGGCTTTGAAACTAATGAGAGAGAAAGGAAAAAGAGGGCCAAAGTAAATTTTACCAGTGAAATCAAACCCATTTACGAGATCAAGCCTATAAAGCTCTAGAAATCAAACCAGTTTAAGAAATCAACACGAAATTATTTAGTATAAATCATATAAAACCCTATAGCAAGTGTTGATAGTTGGGGAAATAGAGGAAGGGAGTGTCAAAGAGACAGAGAGAGACAGAGAGAGAGAGAGAGCGAGCGAGACAGAGAGGGAGAGAGAACCTGTGATCTGCGGCGGTGGCGGTGGCGGTGGTGATTTGCGGCTGCGGCGGTGGCGATGTGCGACGTACGATGAGAGACGATGGTGAGGGACTGTGCTAAGATGAGGTGGGGTGAGGTTTGGTGGTGATGTGTGAGAGAGTGGACTTTTGTGTTTGTTTAAAACGAGAATGGAAGAGGGCGCGAATATTAAAAGTAATTTCCCCCGCAAAGTTTTAGAGCAATTTAGCGACTAAATTGGTTATTTGTCGGCAAATAACCCATATAGTACGACTAAAACTTCTTGTAGCTTGAACGTTTTGTAAAAAAAATTAAAAAAAAATCCCTATATACCAAAAATACAAAAAAAAAAAAAAACTAAAATTCAGTATATTTTTCGTATTTTGTGTATTTATTAATTTTAAAAAATATTTTTTTACAATATTTTACTTTTTAGATACATTTAAGTAAGATACATCTAAAAAAGTAAAAAAAAAAATACTTAAATTTGTAAAATATTCAGTAAAAAAAACACGAAAACAAAATATTCAGTTTTCAAAAAACTGAATTTAGAAAACTAAAACCAAACACAACGAATAATTTCTGATGACCAAATCTCAAGGATGTTTAAGCAGTTAGAGCTTCTGACAAAGCCTCAAACACGTTGAAACTATTTTAGTTAGTCAAACTATAAATACTTAATGGCATATTAAGAGTAGAAAAATACTGTATTCAAATTGGAGATGTGTATAGTAGCAATTCATTTGAAAGGGCAATTTGTAAGGAAATGTATTATTGAAAAACTGTGACATGATTTTCAGTATAGTTGACATCTATTTTTTGATCATCGCCTTAGAAATAAGGAGATCCAATTCATAGCATTAATCATAATGCATTACTAAACCTTGTAACTTAATAAACGTGAGTGTTGCAGTGGTGGGCTGGTTTTAGTTTTAAAAGATTAGAACAAATTTGGAAGGCCATACCTCTGGTTATTCTATGGTCCATTTGGAAGGGTAGGAATGAGATTGTGTTTTTAGGTACGCAACCTGATATGAATGTGCTTTGTGATCTATTTAAAAGTAGAGTGGCTTGGTGGGTTAAAGCAGCATCTCCAGATTCAAATGTGCTCCATTATAAGTTGGAAATGAAGATTTCCAACCCATGAGCAACAGTTGTAAAATACTCATGTTAACAAATTAATATATTAAAAATCAAATATAGGTAAGTATGAAATCAAAAAATAATATATATATTTATATATGGTCACCAATGTGGAGAACGATATAAATAAGTGTAAGGAACACAAAGTTTGAATCATCTCGAACAATCTATACATAGTAAGAGAACTAGATAACACAATTTTCCCTAAATTCTAATCCAAATGTAAATTATAATCCAAATTCTAATTCACATTCAATTAACTATATGAATAAAAAAAAAACCAAAAACTAGGACTCAAAATTTACACTTAATTTGGGTTTTTACTTGCACAGTCGGCGATAAGACGACCTCAAATGATGATGATAATAGGGGGAAAAAAACTAGCGGCCTTACCACTCTTTGTGAGGGAGGAGTCACCGATCGAGTTTACGTGGGTGATGGATCTTAGGTGAATCGATGCTCTAGTTGCCAGCAAATAAGAGGAGGTGTGGCGGAGGAGAGTTATTCTGTGGCTATTGGAGAGGTGGTGAGAGAGGAAGGGGAGAGGAGCAGTGGAGAGAGAGAGAGAGAGATGCTGAAGGGAGAGAGGCGTTGGTTTGATTAGGGATTGGTTTTGTGGTAATTTTACACAATTCGTGACAAAACATTTTGGTCACCAATTCATTTTATAAATCCCTCCAAAATTTAAATTTACAAATTTAAAAAGACATTGTAGAACAAAATTACTTTAACCAAAGAGAAAACAAAGACAGAGAGAGTCACAGAGTGAGAGAGACATATATTAGAGGAAGAGAGGCAGAGAGAGAGACAGAGAGAAGGCAAAATAGAGAGGACATACTGCGGTAATGCTCCAATAATGGATCAACGGTGGTGCTCGATGGCAGTGGTGCTCTTTACACGATGACGATGGAAACAAAGATATTTTCCCGACCAAAGATGTTTGTTGCCAAAAGCAAAAAATCGGCAACCAACTATTTTCGTCGCCAAAAGTTGAGGAATTGCCAACTAATAATTTAGTCGCCAAAAGGTAAGGAATTGCCGACCAATGATTTTAGTCGCAAAAGTGTAAAATTTGGCGACCAATTATTTAGTCGCCAAAACTTTTCTCAACCAAATATTTTGTCGCCAAAAGACATTAAACAATCAACGACAATAAAATTATAATAATAAATAATAATGATAATAATAATAAAATTAAATATCAACTCAAATCGGCGGTATGTGTTCCCACGAAAAAAATAAATTGAGTTGATGATGACGGTGGTAGTGGTAGTGGTGATGCCGAAGGAGATTAGTGGTGAAGTTGTGGTAGTGGTAGAGAAGATGGAGTGACGGTGGTAGAGGAGAGATAATAGTAGTAGAAGTGGTGGTAGTAGTAGTGGTAGTAGTAGT